TTTTTTTAATTTTAGGAAAGGGTCTACAGGGTAGTCAGGGTCTCACTACTAGATCAGACTCATAGTGATCTGCCTGTTTACAGCCTCTCAAGAACTGAGATTACAGGTGCACACCACCATGCCCAGTCTCTAGTGCCCTCTCAGTGGTTCAGGGCCAGCACTGCAGGCCCATGGATTGAACCCCCGACCCTGAGCTTTAATATGGAAACTGATTATGTATCAGTATTCTTAGATTTCAAGAGCATTGTTGAGTGAAAAATTTAAATTACAGAATAATAAAAGGGAAACAATTTACATAATATTTTAAAACATGACAATGTTTGTGAAAACACAAATATTAAGTTTATATAAACATGGAGAAAAACGGTACATATTTTCTTTAGAAAAAATAATCATTCTGCAGTTGTAGAGAAGGATGTTTCTGTGTGTAGGAAAGGAATAAAAGAAGCTTCAGTTGTAGGTACTTTTATAAAAAAGAAAGCAATTATGACAAAGAGTTAACATTTGTTAAATCTGGGAAGTGAGTATACAGGTGTACTTTTTATGTAGGGTGAGGGTACTGAGGATTGAAGCCAGGTTATATCCCCAACCTTATTTTTTCTTTACATTTTGAGACAGAGTCTCACTAGGTTGCCCAGGCTGGACTCAAATTATGATACCCTCCAGCCCCCCAAAACTCTAGGATTTGAGGTGTGCATGCACCATGTTTAACATAGGTATATATTACCTTACTCCTATTTTCCTGGGTCACTGAAATTTTATACATTTGAAAAGAATATTTTTAAATGAAATGAACTGAGTTGTGTATAAGGACTTAGTATCAACAAGGCTAATTAGGTCCACAGTGCTATATTTATAGCTTTCATTTTAAATAAGGAGATTTTAGTTTTATTTTTTAAGGGCTACATAGTAACAGATCTCACAACTAAGACTATCATATTATTGAACATAAATCTGAAATCTAATTTTGAAGCCTTTTTCAATGATTAAACATTTTTAAATAAGTTTTTAGTCCGGGCATGGTAGTGCACGCCTATAATCCCAGTACTAGGAAGACAGAAATCAGGAGGATCACTATGGGTCAGAGATGTGTAGTGAGACCCTGTACCAAAAAAAAAAACAAAAAAAAAAAAACTTAAATACACTTTCTACAGTATCTAAATTCATATTTTTTGTTCAAACCCGTTACCAGAATGTAGCTCAGTGGTAGAGTACAGGCTAGCATGCATGAAGCCCTGAGATTGAGCCCCAATACTGAAAATAAATACATAAATAAAATCATTTACTTGAATCGATTCTTTACTTGCCTCATTACAATTTTCATTTATATAAAAAATGCTAGTGAACAATCACAAGAAACCATGAATTGGAATATATTTAACGTGATGTTTCAGAAGAGGAAAATTCAGGAACAATGATACTGACTTTTGGAATACAGTTCTGTTTTTAGTACATTATGAAATCATAGCATTACTATAAACACTGACTTATAAATTTAATACTTAAGTAAATAATATTTACAGTTTTCATATTTCATAGTCTTTTAAATGCCATTACATATCATTAATTTTGTTGGGATGGGGTGGTTTTCTCTATTTTGTTATTTCTCTATGTTTTAGTTTTGTTTTTTTGTTCCTTTTTATGGAACCAGGAACTGAACTCAGTCCCTTGCACTTGCCAGGCAAGCACTTATTCTTCTGAGCTATCTCCCCAGACCCCTGGTTTAGTTTTCTTGAGAGGGCTCACTTGTAATATAGGTGAGCATGGAACACACTGTTACTCAGGCTGGCCTGGAACTTTTGATGCTCCTGCTTCAGTGTCTGGGTTTATAAGCTTGAGCCACCATTAGCACAAGCTGAGAGCCACATTTTCATTATTTGAATGGCTCAACTCAGTATTCTCATACTGAAACCATTTCATAAAGATAAAAATTGAACTGTCCTTACATTTCCATTTTCTCTTCTTCCTTCGTGTATCTCTAGCCAAAGTGCTAATGAACACTAAATATATGAAAAGAAATACACATACACATAGATACACATTTTTTGGTAGTATTGGGAATTGAGTCCAAGGCCTTCACACTGAGCTGCATCTCTAGTCTAATTTTTAAATTTTGAGACAGGGTCTCATTAAGTCACTGAATTGCCCAGGTTGGACTCAAACTTGAGATTCTCTTGCCTCAGCCTACCAGAGTGCTGTGATAACATGTGGGAACCACACCAGGGTAAGATATGTATTCTTAAAAGGTAAATCACATTTATTGTAGAAGAAATATGTTCTAAAAGAAAGGATAAATTAAATGCATTAGATACTTGAGAGTTGGCTGTATATTCCATAGAGAAATTTGCAACTAATTTAGAAAAAGTACTGGCCAATCAAGCAATTAAAATAGTCATCGTTTCCATTGGCATATATGTTGATTTATGTCTAATAGGCTATAATTAAATTCATTTTTAGATAATATAGATGAGGGGGCCGGCCAGATAGCTCAGCAGATTAAAGGGACCTGGATTCAATCCTGGTGTGCTGTGCCAGCCCTGCCCCTGAGGCACGCTGAGACAGGGATTGAGACTGGGTGTGGTGACGTGCATCTGTAATCCCAACCGTGCACCTGTAATCCCAGCGTTTGGGAGGCTGAAAACAGTAGGATCAGTATGAGTCTAGTCTGTGTAGTGATACCCTATAGACCCTATACTAAATACATTTTTTTTAAAAAAGTATAGATGAAATCCTTTCCTGCAGAACTTTAATGTTATTATACTAGTTTCTTTCTAAAATGAAAAAAAATCCATATTGATTGGCTATATTTTATAAAAATGCATCCACATAGATGAGAACTGAAAGACATAGAGCAGTGATTAGGTAAAGGAATAACTTTCTGTTTTCAGTATACTTTAACATTATTCATCTTTAGAAAAATTAGTATTTCTAGAAATTAATTCCCAATTAGTTAGCCTTACTTCTGTAGTGAAAAGTTAATGGAAATGCTTTGAACCAGTAACAGAAGGAAGCTACTACTAACCACCCACAGTCCTTTCCTCCTTCTGTTTGGTGGGTGGTATGATGTTCGCTTTTCTTTAGACTATTTGTTTTGTTTAGGATTTTTTGAGAGGGGAAAGACTCTTAGATGTTTTGGCAAATAACAATTGTATCTGCCTTGGGTAAAAGATACAGAGTACAGGAAAGCTGCTATATGAAAGGAAAAGAAGCTCTTTTAAAAACTGTACTTAATGAAATACATAGTTCAGCTTCTGTTTGTGTTATTCTACCCAAAAATATGCAAGAGGCCTTTTTCTTCTAAAAGAACTTAGAGGTCACCACAATGCAGCTATATTATGAGATGACCCATAGTGCTCTATTTACTGTTGGATCCTGTAGTTAGTCCCTAGCAAGCGCACATGCGTGCGCACACACACACACACACAATTCAGTTTTCTAAATCTTGTTATTAATATCAAAGGAAATATATACAGCTTATCAGAACAATTTCAAAAATTTTTAATGTGGTTACAGACTTTCCAGAAGGAAATAATAAGTGAGCAGTGCTTAGAGAACCAAGAAACTATTGCCTGGGGTTTGGAGTGTCTTTTGGTGGGGGGGGGGGTGTCTATTGGAGGGTTGTTTGCTTAGGTTTGTTTTGTTTTTGTGGCACTAAGGATCCCACCCAGATGCATTCTACCTCCCCAGTCCTTTGTAATTCCTCATTTTGAGTTAGGGCCTAACCAAGTTGCCTGGGCTGACCTTGAACTTGTAGTCCTCCTGCCTCAGCCACAGGAGTAGCTGGGATTACAGGTGTCTGCCACTCTTCCTAGCATTACTCAATCTTTTTTAATAATTTTTTAAAATAGTAACTTTATAGATAAGTAAAATTCCACAAAATGTACACATATATCCTGACGAGCACTATTCTTTGTT